ACTACATCATAGGCAAAGTTGCTCCTGTAGAAAGAACAGGAGAGGTCTCTTGAAAACCTTGGCCACAGACTCAAAAAGCACTTATTGCATTGAAAATGTCTCTGTTTATAACTTCCTGCTAAACACAGCACAATTAATGGCTTAAAACATAAGTGGAGCCGGGCTGCAGTGGCGTACGCCTTTAAACCCAGCACTTGGAAGGCAGAGGCAGGCGGATTTCTGAGTTCGAGAGTTCGAGGCTAGCCTGGTCTACAGAGTGAGTTCCAGGACAGCCAGGGCTACACAGAGAAACCCTGACTCGAAAAAAAACAAAACTAACAAACAAACAAAAAACAAAAACAAAAAAACAAACCGTAAGTGGGGAAGTGTACAACAGTTTTGAGAATTCTGGAATTCTGGTTTCTTTTAAAAGTGCAGAAATATTGTAAGAATGTGTTTTTGTTTTAATCCCAGGTGTAGGGATATGGGGCTGCTTTGAACTGTCAGCAGCAGCTGACTATCATTTGCCTGGTGCTCTAGGTATGGTTTTGCCAGCTACAGATAGTTCCTGCAATTGTGTGACATTTGGAATTCCGGGAACTTTTCAGAGAGTATAAATGCTAGAGCCCTGAGAAGTGGGGTTGGTGGTTATTGGTTGTTCAGGGAGGGAGTTAGTAGTTAGTAGTGGTTAGTAGTGGTGCTCAAAGAAGAATCAAGAAAAAGAAATTAGCCGGGCAGTGGTGGTGCACGCCTTTAATCCCAGCACTTGGGAGGCAGAGGCAGGTGGATTTCTGAGTTCTGAGTTTCTGTAGCCTGGTCTACAGAGTGAGTTCCAGAGAAACCCTGTCTCGAAAAACCAAACCAAGAAAGAAAGAAAGAAAGAAAGAAAGAAAGAAAGAAAGAAAGAAAGAAAGAAAGAAAGAAAGAAAGAAAGAAAGAAAGAAATTAGATTCAGAGACCTCTATCTCTCCCTATCTGATGATAGGAAGTCAAACTGGGGGGATAAAGGGTGGGAAAAAGAATAACCCACAATATAGCAAAGATCAGCTACAGTCCTCGGGGACTGACTAGGTACTACCCTAGGAATCTCTGGAAACTGAATCTCTGGCCATGGCTCCATGTAGCAGCCAATCAGCCAGCTGTGTTGATAAACTGAAAGCTGCTACTTGAGTCAGGTCTCATCTGTCCTGAGATCATTTATTCTCTAGAAACATACTTTCTTTGACATGAACACAGACCTTTATGTAAAATAGACCTGAGGATCCAGATCTCATTGCTTCCTCTACTGAAAAGGGGTTCTAGGAACAGCATCTGAGAATGGCAGTATTGTCCAGGAAATACAGGTACTCTGAAGCTCAGTGAATTAAAGATAGAAGGTACCAAGCTGCTTGTGGAAATTGCCAAGTGGTTATGTGAAGTAGAAACTTAAGGGTCCTTTGGAAGGTCGGTTGTATGGTGTTTTGTTAGGGCAAACACGTGAAGGAACATTTAGCTGAAGGGGACACAGGTGAAAGGTTAAGGGAGACACATGAAGGAATGTTTAGCTGAAACAGACACAGAAGAAAGGATGTTCTGCTAAAGCAAGCACATGAAAGGATGCGTGATGAAGGATTCTTCGCTAATGACAAGCGTGTATTGGTCCACCTCATATTGCATAGTTGTGCTCCATTTGCCAAGACCCATAGAGAGAAACATAACAAAAAACTTCTGGTGGTGTGCTGCAGTTTCTTGCCTCTTCTGCAGACTCGGGCTGATTGGCAGAGTGATATCAGCTGAGACAGACGCAAGTGCTGAGGCAAGACCCATGGAAAACACGTGATGTTTGGAGGGAATATAAATAGAATTCAATGGACAGTGATGGAAGCTGAGCTTGGCTTGCTGGTACAGCTAGCTGTGAAACGCTTGTGGGTCTTGCATCTTTGCTTATCTTTGCTTCACTGAGAGATTCACAGCTGAGAACTCCTGGTGTCCCACAAGTTCCCTCCTGCTGACTCATGCCATGCCCCGCCTTCTGCTAGGTCATGCCACTGCTGCTGATTCCTGTTTGCTGTGTACCAAACTGGACTGCTAGTGTATCCATGAAGTGTTTTGAGTGGATCTAGCTGCGGCTGCTGACCTGTGAACTGAACTGCAGATTTCTAGACAACACAGACAGGAGTTACTCCAAAGAACCTTTCTAAACAGGTCAACTTCCCCCATATCCTTTCTTTTCCACTACCTCTGGTGGGTGGTGGGCTAAAAGGGAGGTTAAAGTGTTTAAGAACCATCATTAAAAATAAGATTTGAAAAAAGTTACAGTTTGTAGCAGTAAATTGTTAAATCTACTCTATGCTTCCTGTGTACTGAGACTCCTCTCCACCTGCCCAAATGTTTTGGATTCACAAATGAAACACACACACACACACAAAACCTTTGTATTTTAATATGCCTTAACTACCTTAATGGCTGGGTCACTCCTGAACCTCCACATGGCTAACATACTCCCCTCCAATATTCCTAAGCTAATACTTACTAAATCTATATTTTATCTTTGCTGCCCTGGACCCTTCTGGGCAGCTCTCCTGGGGCTGCTTTCCCCTTTGAACGTACATTGAACCTACATTTTGGCCATCTCTCCCTCCTGTACCTTCCCGATGTGATCTGTCTCCTACGCCCTTGTCATGGACAAATCCCCTCTTCCTCTTTCCTCCGCATTTCTTGCTCCAGAATCCTAAAATTTCCACCTCTGTCTCCCTGCCCAGCCATTGGTCACTAGCAACTTTATTTCCTAATCAGAGCCAACTGGAGGCAGGTTCCTATGGGATTTGGGGAGTCAAATTAACACAAACAGTATTAGAACAAATCCACAATATCATTTATGCCTAATCAAGTGAAACCAGAATCAAGAGGGCTAAGATTGGTGTCATGTGGCGCAAGTTAAGAGTCAGCTAGATGTAGAGCTGGAGAGATGGTTCAGCAATTAAAAGCATTTGCTCTTCCAGAGGACCCTGGTTCAATTCCCAGGACCGACATGGCAGCTCACCACTGTCCTAAGCTGCGAAGGAGCCAACACCCTCAGACATACACACAGACAACACTAATGCACATAAAATTAATAATAAATAATTAAAAAAAAAGAGTCGCCAGGCAGTGGTGGCGCACGCCTTTAATCCCAGCACTTGGGAGGCAGAGGCAGGCGGATTTCTGAGTACGAGGCCAGCCTGGTCTACAGAGTGAGTTCCAGGACAGCCCGGGCTATAAGAGAAACCCTGTCTCGAAAAAAAAACAAAACAACAACAACAAAAAAGAGTCACTATCTGGCCAAATGTGGTAGCACATACATTTAATCCCAACACTGGGAAGACAGAGGCAGTTGGATCTCTGTGAATTGGAGACCAGCCCTATCCACATAGTGAGACCCTGTCTCAAAACAAACACCAAAACAAAAACCAAAAAAAGTCACTAGACTTCCTGGACGGAGGCCGGGGGTTGGGGTGTGCTGTGCTGCCTCAGCTGTACTTTGACAAGGCAGAGGAAGCATAAGGAGATGTAAAGATGGCTGTTTCCTGCCTCTTGCCACCCCAAGACCACTGGCCTGGTGTCACAGCAGCATTTTGTCACTCTCCCCGTCTTTCACTTGGTCTGCTTCTGGCCAGATATGATGAACTTAGGTCACCACTTCTGCATGATGGAGCATCCTATTACTTGTAGCCCAAATCACTTGTGACCCATATGGAGCAGCTGGACAAAACTGCCTATGATCCTGGTCTCCTCCCACCTCTTTCTTCATATTCTCTGACAACATTCAGCAGCCCCCAACCAAAGGAAACACCCACTGAACTACTAAATGCCCTTCATTGGGTGCCTGTGTACAACCACACCTTAAGCCTGGAGGTGTAGTAATAGACCAGTCAGCAACCCCCATCCTGTAGGGAAGTTCATGCCTGCGGAAGCCAATAGGACACTGGGGAGGGTTGGAAGAAGAATGCTGTGGGGTTGAGGAGGTTAGGGATTGTAGGAAAGAGGTTTCATCCCCCACACTAGGCAGGTCATACCTATGCCTCCTCCTTACTGAGCGCAGACCTCTAGTCTTCCAGCTGCATCAGTTTTGGGCTGCTGGGCCCCTCCCCAAATTGAACACCCATGTCTATACCTGCATAGACAATAGGTTTACTTTCTTTTCATTCTGGTGCTGTCCCAAAGTACATTCTCTATACCCCCGCCTTATCTCAAAAACTCCCTTTACTGAGGCCCCATGTCAGTCTGGGAATTCCCCACAGAGTCAAACTGCCAGGACCCACTCTGCTGCTTGGAACATATTCACTGAGTCCTGTGAAACAAACCACATGGAAATAAAAGGAGCTGCTCATAAAATAAGGGAGATAGCAGTGAGCAGATAAAAATCACTCTGATCACCACCCAATTTTGGAAGATGCTTGTTCTTGGTAGTAGTCTCTGACAGCAGGTACCTAGAAGTGGGTGGGATAGGAAGTCTGACATAGGTGCTGACATTTACTGATGTCATCAGCTTGAAAACATCTCCCCAGGTATAGGACCTGTATCTTTTTATCTTTGTGGTCCTTTTGTGGTTAGCACAGGAGTACTGTATCTCCTAGAAGGAACCTCTATGGAGCTAATTAACAGCCTATACTTCAAAATCTGAGTTACCTTGTAAGTTTATATCAAAAGGACTTTGCCCATAGCTGAGCTAGAACACAACACCAATGCCAAAATTCCGATGGGACACCTCCAAAGAGAACAGGGATCCCCAATGTGAGGATATCATGGTTGGTAGGAGATACCATGTATATACCATGCACTCACTAGGGTTAGAGTGATACTATGATGGCATGGTCCTGGCTGACCTCTTAGGTTTTTGTTTGTTTGTTTGAGACAGGGTCTCTCTATAACTTTGGCTGTTCTGGAACTCACTATATAGATCAGGTTGGTCTCGAACTTAGAAATATACCTTCCTCTGCCTCCTGAGATTAAATCCAACAGCCTTCTGCTGTAATTAAAAGTATGTATCACTATGTTCAGCCCCAAGTATGGAGTGCTTCATGGATTTTTTTCGTGTCATCCTTGCACAGGAGCTGTGCTAATCTTTGTAATGTCCCAATTTTTGTATATGTGCAACCAAAATGAGCATGCCTTGGATTTTTTAAATGATTAGGAATATAGCCAATACTACTCCCTGCACCTTTATGTAGAGTCAAAGCATGTGGCTTTCCTTCTGCCCTTGTACCCAGACCCACCTCCTTGGCCAGGAACTGCACACGTTTCTCAAAGATGAGGTTCTCCAGGACTAGAGAGATGGGCCAATGGGTAAGAGCACTGACTGCTCTTCTAGAGGATCAAAGCTCAATTCCCAGTACTTACATGGCAGCTCACAACTGTCTTATGTAATGTCAAGATCTGACACCCTTGGACAGACATACATGCAGGCAAAATACCAATGTTCATACACTTTAAAAAAAAATCTTTAAAAAAAATAATAAAAGAGGATCTGCTGTGGTAAGCCTAGAGTAGAGTATCCAAAGCCCCCTCCCTACCCTGAAGAGACCAGGGCTGCCCCTCACAAGGCTACACACCTGACACCAGAGAACAAAAGGAGCTGCACAGTTAGCTAGCAACTTTGACTTTCCTATTTCCTCAGCTCCTTCCTGCAGCCTAAAAGGGTGTCAGACCAGGTTTCCTGGGTCTATCACAATCACAATAGTCTCCACACCTCCCACCTGTAGATACAACCACAGTGAAGTGGAAACTTAAGGGTTCTTTGGAAAGTCGTTTGGATGGTGTTTTGCTGGGACAAACACGTTGAAGGAACATAGTGTTAAAGTGGACACAGGTGTGAAAGGCTAAGGCAGACTGGTGAAGGAATGTTTTGCTGAAGCAGACACAGGAGAGAGAATGTTCTGCTAAAGCAAGCATGTGAAAGGACACACGATGAAGGATTCTTTGCTAACAACACACATGTATTGGTTCACCTTAAGTAGTTGAGCTGCATTTGTCCGGACTCTGCCGGCTGATTGAATGCATGTGCTGAGGCAAGACACATGCTGAAGCAAAGCACATGGAGGACACATGGAGGGAGTAAAAACAGGACTCCACGGAGTGAAGGAGAGAGAGCTTGATTTGCTGATACAGCTAGCAGTACAACACTTATGGGTCTCAAGAAGACTTCAATGATGTTTGCTTCCCTGAGAGAGGCACAGCTGAAAATTTCTCCTGGTGTTCCTGTTAGTCCCTCCTGCTGACTCAAGGCTGAGGCCTGGCTGTCTCTGCTAGGTCATGTTACCACTGTTGCTAACCTGACTCTACTGAACTGGACTGCTGGTGTATCCATGAAGTGTTTGTGAGTGGATCGAACTGCCACTGCTGCTGCTGACCTTTGAACTGAACTGCTGATATCCAGACAACACAGAAGGGAGTTGCTCCAAAGAACTTTCTAAACAGATCCACTTCCCCCGTATCCTTTCTTTTCCACTACCTCTGGTGGGTGATGGGCTACAAGGGAAGTTAAAGTGTTTAAGAACCATCATTAAAAGGTTTGAAAAAATTAAAGTTACACCACAGTTATATCCTGAGATGACCAAATTCACCCCCAGTCCTCCCAAAAGTCCTCACCATGTTTCCCTGTGCTTAGCTTCAGCTGGAAGATGTGGGAAGTAATGCTGAGTACAACAGAGAGGCTTCCTGATAGAGGTAGGGTTCCAGAACCTGTCAGTGGCCACATGAAAAAACTGTTAGGAGACCTCCAACACAGTAGAGGTTCTCTTTCAGACCCCAGATTAGGCAAAAACCACATACAGACACCTGCTTTCACAGAGAGATCCTTTATTAAGCAGGGAAGAAAAGTTAAAGTGGTTGGTTTCCGACTCAGGCACAGAAACAGCAGCAAATGACCTTACACATGTAATTTTTAAGAAGAGAAAAAGGGGAGGTCTGTGTTAGAATGGATTAGGATGCAGTGGTATATTTTAATTGGGCTTGTTAATTAGTTGAACCAAGGGGAGCTTTTTGATTGCTGGACTTCAATACTTTGACAGCTGAACCTTGGTAGTAAGCCTCAGGAGGAGGAACTGGCCAAATAAGGGAAAAGACTTTGGTGGCTAGGTAACCCTGAGTTTAGATGTAATCTGTTTTTAACCAGGCAAAGGGAATGGAAGAGAAGAGCAAGGTCTGCCAGAGCCATGCTGGCCACATTCAAGAAAATGAGGCTCACCTGTGTCAGGGACTCCTTTCCTGTTATCTAAAATTGTATGAGGAGGTGAACAAAAGTAGTTTCAGAGAGAGTCAAGAGATCCAAGCTAGAACTGCCGGGGCTGAATCTGGCCAAGCCATACTGCCCATGGCTTCAAGTGTCTGCTAGGAATGCCCAGTTTATGATGACCTTCTCAAAAAGTCATGATGTATGTTCTGGACTCCTCTCACTGGCTCTCCTAGTTTCCCAGGCTTAGAGGAACTTCCTGAGGTAGAAGAGGAAAGGGGGAGTTTTATACAACAATACGGGGTGCCCATAGGTGCCAGCAGCATGTGTGAATGGGCATCCTTTTCCCCTGAAGCTTATCCACGGTGAGTATGTTGGAGTAGGAAGAGGCTTGTAGGGGTTTCGGAGATGTCTGGAAAGGTGATGTCTATGCCCTACTTTTTACAGAAGGTCTTTACAAACACCACAGATGTCTGCCGGAAGCTGGAGGTGGAGCTGGCCTGGAGCCCAATCTGAGGGGTGGGGACAGAGGCAGAGGCAGAGACAAGGCATGTTGGAGCGGGAACTCCTGAAATCAGCCAACAGAAGACTCAGGAGAGGCACTATGGGAGCATGGGCCATGCTGTATGGAGTCTCGCTGATTTGTGTGCTGGACCTAGGTCAGCAGAGCGTTGTTGAGGAGCCTAGCTGTGGCCCTGGCAGGGTCCAGAATGGAACTGGCACCAACACACGCTGCTGCAGTCTGTGTGCTCCAGGTAAGGCAAGGAGAAAAGTGGGAGTCAGGATGTACAGCAGCACCCCTCCCTGAACTCATACAAGGAGGCTGGGTACAGGGCACATGTGAGTTGGTGGGTAAACTTTCTGAGTCTAGAGCCTTGAGTCTGGAGCTCTGAGAAGGAGGTAAAGGGACAACTATCTTAGGTTATCCAAGATTAGAAATGTGAGAACAAAGGCAACAGAGGCTGGAGACTTCTCCCTCAAGAGAGATCTGGGATCCAAGATGAAAGAGGACCATATCAAGACCTGTTGGGTGGATCAAACCTTAGCCATCACTAAAGCTACTCTTTGTCTGGGTTGGAGTCTCAACATTCTCCTCTGGTCTATCCACTGACTGTGACTTACATTTGTAGGTGTAGGGCAGTCTGTGGACCAAAGAAAAATATCTTAGCACTTCACCTTGCCACATTTCTGGTATAGAAAGGGGCAGCTCTGAAGCTCCATGTCTCTGTGATAGAGATATGGATAGCAGTGAAGGCAGCTGATGAAGTGTTCTAGTGTCTTGAGGGGCAATGTGGGATGAGAATGGGGCAGCATGGGCCCAAGGCCCATAGGAAGCCCCAGGCGACTCCCACATCTAATGGAACTTATGAAACCACAACTTTAGAGCGGTGGGAGATATGTATACTAGCTGTCAGACATCTGAAATGGAACACTAAGCTAGACAAAGCCAAGGATCTTGCACTGGGGTTGATTGAGAATGGAGGCATAGCACTCTAAATACTTGAAGGACCAGTAGAAACTCTGGAGAGAGAAGAGGCTCTGTCTAGTGGCTGAGGCTCTTATTCTTGCCTAGGCAAGGAGGACTGTCTAAAAGAAAGGTGCATATGTGTCACACCTGAGTACCACTGCGAAGACCCTCAGTGCAAGACCTGCAAACATCACCCCTGCCAACCAGGCCAGAGGGCGGAGCCTCAAGGTATGTTCCTGGGAGCCTGATGAAAGCCACAGACAACTCCAAGCTAATCATGAGTTAGACCTAGGGCCAAGCTGATATATCCATTGAGCGTGTGTAGGCATGTAAGAATGTTTGCAGATGGGGCTGGAGAGATGGCTCAGCGGTTAAGAGCACTGACTGCTCTTCCAGAGGTCCTGAGTTCAAATCCCAGCAACCACATGGTGGCTCACAACCATCCATAATGAGATCGGATGCCCTCTTCTGGTGTGTCCAAAGAAAGCAAAAGTGTAAAAAAAATAAAATAAAAAAAAAAATCTTAAAAAAAAAAAAAAAAAAAAAAAAAAGAATGTTTGCAGATAGCTCTCATGGGCACATCTTTTGGGTAGGTAAAGACCTACATCCTAGATTCTAGAAGGGATAGGTGGGTCAAGTGATCTCAGGGTACCCAAGCTCTTCTTATTAGCCTGGAATTCTCCATCATAATGAGGGTGCTGAAGTCTTCTCAGGGTTGTTTGTGAGAGGCTATGGGGGGCTGCCCAGGTGCTGGTCTGCTCTCAGACTATTATTCTGACTATGGCCAGGTATTATCACCAAACCTGTCCATCTTCATAGGGACCAATGTATCATGCCAGTTCTGGAATAGGCATATATGGTACTGCTTATCCAGGCCCTAGACCTGTGGACATTAGACTTGGTGACTCCTTCCTCATTAACTTCAGTGGTCCTAATAGTCTCTGTCTATCCACAGGGACTATTAAGTTTGGCTTCCAGTGTGTTGACTGTACCATGGGCACCTTCTCTGCAGGTCGTGAGGGCCACTGCAGACTTTGGACCAAGTAAGTCCTGGATGAGTAGCCTAGGCCCATTCTGAGCAAGCCTCTCCTATCCCTCCCTTGTAGTAACCATTCATCTCCCAAATGACTCAGAGAACAGCAGTCCTATCCTAGTGTGGCTGCTTGGGTAACCAATCCTGACAGTGTCTGTGTCTGTGTCCCAGCTGTTCTCAGTTTGGATTTCTCACCATGTTCCCTGGGAACAAGACCCACAATGCTGTGTGCATCCCGGAGCCACTGCCCACTGAGCAATATAGCCATTTGAGTGTCATCTTCCTGGTCATGGCTGCATGCATTCTCTTTCTAACCACAGTCCAGCTCGGCCTGCACATATGGCAGCTGAGGAGGCAACACAAGTGTCCCCGAGGTCAGTTGTGTCCCAGGGAAGGGGAAAACGTGTCTTAGGCCCCTCACTTACCATAGTTTTACTACAGAGACCCAGCCACTCCTGGAGGTGCAGTTATCACCAGCTGAGGATGCTTGCAGCTTCCAGTTCCCTGAGGAGGAACGTGGGGAACAGACAGAGGAAAAGTATCATCTGGGGGACCGGTGGCCATGAGGCCTGTTCTTCCTCTGTGCCCCAAGCCAGTCCCTACAAGACTTGCCCAGACATACCCTTGGTAAGAGCAAGGGCCATGCTCTGCATCCTTCCCTGGGCCTGGCCCCGCTCCCCTTGACAATGGCGGAAGTGGGTGTGACAGTAGTGAGTTACAATTGGGCCCTATGGCTGCCTTTCTCATTTGACAGCTCTGTTGGAGTAGGGTCTTTGGGTCCTCCAAGAGCACCAAGTTTAAGCACAAGATCTTGTACAGGTGGTTTTCAATAAATACTTGTCTAGTAACCTGAGTGGCTGTGTCCTAAGGCAGAGGAAAGCAAGGAGCCCAGGGCTGCATTTAGGGACATCCCTTGTCATCCTATGCCCATGGTCATTTCCAAGTATGAAACAAAGAGTGCAGTCTGGTGAAATATCTTGGCAGGAAAAGGCTCCTGCCTCCAAGTCTGATGAGCTGAGTTTGATCTTTGGGAACCATGGTAGGAGGAGATTCTGTTAATACCAACAAGTTGTCCTTTGACTTCCCACATGCCTACACACACACACACACACACACACACACAGATGTATACAAATGCATGTGCATGTGCTTACATGCACATTCAAATAAATGTAATAAAAACTTTAATAATTTTAATGGGAGGAAGCATCTGGCTGGGCAGTAGTGGTGCACGCCTTTAATCCCAGCACTTGGGAGGCAGAGGCAGGTGGATTTCTGAGTTCGAGGCCAGCCTGGTCTACAGAGTGAGTTCCAGGATAGCCAGGGCTATACAGAGAAACCCTGTCTTGGAAAAGAAAAAAGAAAAAAGAAAAAAGAAAAAAGAAAAAAAGAAAGAAAAGCAGCATCTGAGGCCTGTCCTCAGAGCTCCCTTTTGGTGGTAGTGGTGGCACAAGTCAAGATTAATCTTGGCCACAAACCCTCAATAGGGACCATTGATCTAAGGAGTCTTTTAGAAAGTGATACTCTGTACTGAATACCTGCCTTCTTTGCCTCTCTCTCTCTCTCTCTCTCTCTCTCTCTCAATTTATATGTATTTATTTGGCCTTTGTAAGTTTCTGTGCATCATGTGTAACTTTTTGGAGCAGGAGTTATGGACAATTGTGAGCCACCATGTGGGTTCTGGGAACTGAATCCAGGTACTCTGGGAGAGGAGCAGGTGCTCTTACTCTTGAGCCATCTCTCCTGTCTCTCTTGGCCTTTTGTTCAAATCATTTAGGACATTTGCCCTGGCCTAACTGCTTCAAACTTAGGCTTTGCCAGTTTCCATACTGAGCAACTTCTGGCATGAGGCAAATTCTCTGAAGTGAATGGCTCTGACTATGAGACATTCCCAGCAAAGCATCTTTCCCGTTTCATGGTGGTAGTTGGGGCTGCTCATAGAAAGATTCAATAAGAGACAGCATAATAGTGCACGCCTTTAATCCCGGCACTTGGGAGGCAGAGGCACTTGGATCTCGGGAGTTTGAGGCCACACTGGTCTACAGAGTGAATTCTAGGACAGCTATAGCTACATAGTGAGACCCTATCTCAAAGGAAAAAAAAAAAAAGATCATCTTGGCAAGGATGTCCAGGGAGTAGCAGGTCAGAGGCAATGACAGCACACTTGAGACATCTGAACACCTGTACATTTACTCAGCCCATCCCCCACTTTAGTGCCTTCTGTCTTATAGCAGGTAAAGGGGGCGTGGGGGATGAATCTGCAACCTCTGATTCAAACAGCCCCATTGGCACACAGACTCCTGGGAGAAACTGGAGGAGGAGGTAGAAAAATTGCCTTGGAAGTGGACATTGGGATCAGAACACAAAGAGCTCAGGGCCATGTGAAGTCACTTAGAGATGTACCAGCACCTTCATTGCCTGGAGCTGCCTCTTCTGTCCCCTACTGAGTGGGTGAGGAGTCACGTACAAGCTGCAAGGCTAGAGCCAGCCTGGAAAGGGAGGCAGGGTCTGGGGCATCTCCCAACTTGCCCATCATGCACCTCTAGGTTCTGAGCCATAGGCAGTTACACTGGAACTGCCACAGGTGGGACATCCCCAAATAGCTTGACGTGTGTGCAAATACCCACAGGCTGCATCTGCTGGAAACTCCTCCTGTGGGTGGCTGATGGGTGTGATAGTGAGATGGTAGGAGATTCTGCAGGGTGTGGTGAAAGGGTGCTATAGTCTTTGCTGTATCCTTGCCTTGAAGCCAGCAACCCCCCTTCCACTCATGTCCACCTCAGGGTCATGAGATGAGCCGTGCCAGCCTGTGAGTTAGATCCGGGGATTTCCACTGAGAACTGTGAGCTGTGCAGGGCCTGTTCAGATCCCAAGGGTTGAAGCTCAGGGCCTGTAGCTAAGGGACAGCGCCCATGACTGCAAGCAGGTGTGAAATCCAGGGGTGCTAAAAGGTGGGAAAGAGGACCTGATGAAAATATTCTACTGCAGAGGCCACTTCAGAACCTGCCCTCTGAAGTATTTGCCCACCTGCGTAGTCTAGCAACCACAACAGCTAGGTGTAGTGTAGCGGTAGATTGTTAATCTGCTCTAAACTCCCGGAAGGGCACTTGCATGCTTCTCGCCACCCACTAAAATGTTCTGGATTCCAGAAAGACAGACACACATACACAGCCTAATTTTTAATGTGCCTTAAGCAGGTCAGTGGCTGGACCATTCTCTAACTCCACATGGCTTATACACACTTCCCTCCGATATTCATGAGTTAATACTTACTAAATCTATATTTCATCTTTGCTGCCCTAGACCCTGCTGGGCAGCCTGCCTGGGGCCACTTTTCCCCTGTCCTTACATGTTGTCTGTTTCCAGTGTGGTCTGGCTCCTACAGGTCATGACCAAATCCCCTCTTCCTCAGTCCCTTCCCAGGAATCCTAAAAGTCCCGCCTTTGTCTCTCTGCCCAGCCGCTGGTAACTTTATTGAACAGTCAAAAACCACCTGGAGACAAGCGGAAGGGGAGACACTACAAACAGGTTTTTATCTAACATAATTGGCATGAGAACACAAGCCGCTACAGTGTAACTCTGCCTGGCCTAGATTAGCAGGAGAGAAGTCTTGCTGCAATTCCCAGAAACCCCTACCGGACAGTAGCTGCTCTCCAGTTCTTCCGGAAAACCACAACAAGAGCAGACACACACGCGCACGCACGCACACACACACACACCCTTCACCTTGATTTTGTAAGTTTTGTTCAGTCTCAGATAAAGGCCCAGAGGCCATCTCAGTTCCCAGAAATGCTTCCGGCCACAGCTGGTGGCTACAGCCCAGCCTCCACCCTCTCATCCTTTGTTCAGTCAGAGTAGAATGTGCCCTAGCCTGACAAAGACCAGTGAGATGCCTCTTCCTTTTTACAACTCAGCAACCCCTCCCCCAACTCCAGGCTCCAGACAGCTGTCTAGAGACCTTGAGGGGCAGGTGGGTAATAATTCTCCCTAGCTGCTGAGGTATGGTCCCACTGACGAGGTGGTACTACAATCTCTAGGTCTCCCTTGTACTGTGCTAGGCTCACATCCCAGAAACTATCCCTTAGGCAGCCACTAGCCTCTATGGGAAGCAGCTTGTCTCAGGGTTTTACTGCTGTGAACAGACACCATGACCAAGGACGTTTAATTGGGGCTGGCTTACAGGTTCAGAGGTTCTGTCATTAAGGAACATGGCAACACTCAGGAAGGCATTGTGCAGGAGGAGCTGAGAGTTCTGTATCTTCATCTGAAGGCTGCTAGCAGAATACTGACTCCCAAGTAGCTAGGATGACCTTCATGACCCCTTCATGCCTTCAAAACCATTAGTACCACCTGGGTGACTCTTACACATTACTAAGTACAGCTGCAGCAAGAGATACCACCTTGGTTATCTCTGGAACACAGATTCTTTGTGTTCTCATAAAACACTTCCCAGAAGATTTCACCTGGTCTCTTCTTAATCACCATTAATTTCTTAGCTCCAGCTAACCAGCATCAATTGTCCCAGTAGTCCTTTATTCTGGACTTTAAGGCCAGAGCCAAGTGGCCAAAACTGCCAAGTTCTGCTGCTTGCTGGGGCTGGAACATGAGCCCCCTTGTTCTATTACATTCTCACCAGCTTTCTGTTTCTCAGCTCCTTCACTGCCTAAGCTTGGCTGTCCTGGAACTTGCTCTGTAGACTGACTTTGATCTGTATGCCCGTCTCCTAAACACTGGGATTAAAAGTGTGGTCCACCAAGCCTGGATATAAGTTTTTCTTTACCTACAGCATGCTCTGTTCTAGGCTGGCCTTGAACTCAGAGATCAGCTTATTTTTGCCTCCTGGGATTAAAGGCTTGTACTACCATACCTGGACCTAAATTTAGCTGCGTGGGATCTTGCCCCATGGTAACTACTCTTTTATTTCAGTTTAATACTCTTGAACACAGAATTCAGCTCCATTTTACTTCCTGGTGCCCCTTTAATACTTGAACCATATATTTTATATTTTTCCTTTCTCAGCTTGCTACACTTGTTTAAAATGTTCTTCATGAGACTTAAGCAGAGAACAAAGTCTATGATGGGCATTTCTGAGACTTCCTTTGTCAATTCAATTCATCCGAGTCTCTTCACCTTAGCCTCAGGCAGACTCTTCAGACCAAGGCAAAAAGTAGCCACATTCTTCACCAAAATAGCACAAAAACTATCTCTAGACCACATATTGAAATTCTCCACTGAAATCTCTTGGGCCAGGTCTGCATAGTTCAAATCACTCTCAGTAACAAAGTCTCCCATACTCCTACTAGGATGGCCCATTAAGCCCCATTTAAAGCATTCCACTGCTTTCCAAATCCAAAGTCCCCAAATCCACATTCTTCCAAACAAAAGCATGGTCAGGCCTATCGCAGAAATACCCCAGTCCCTATACCAGCTCCTGTCTTAGGGTTTTACTGCTGTGAACAGACACTGTGACCAAGGCAACCCTTATAAGGACATTTAATAGGGGCTGGCTTACAGGTTCAGAGGTTCAGTCCATTATCACAAGGCAGGAGCATGGCAGCTCCCAGGCAGCCATGATACAGGAGGAGCTGAGAGTTCTACATCTTCATCTGAAGGCTGCTAGCAGAATACTGACTTCCAGGCAGCTAGGATGAGGGTCTTAAAATCTACATCCACAGTGACACACCCACTCCAACAAGGCCACACCTAGTAGTGCTGCTCCTTGGGCCGAGCATATATAAACCATTACATAGCTCATTTTTCAAAGAAGCTTTACAAAGTGGGATGCTTTTCTGAAGACCAGGCACTAACTATTCTGGCCTCTTCTTAGATGGGGAGAGACCAGAGTGGG